AAGGCATAGGGCCCAGAGCTGAGGGACGGGGTGGGCAGGATGAGTCCATGGGAGGGGTCACATAGTCCTCAGAGCCAGAGATAGTAAATGAGGATCTTGCCTCTCCAAGAATCTTCCCAGTTGCTTGTCGGGGGTCATAACTGGAATAACAAGGTGTAGTGGGCACACCAGGTAGTCGAGGTACACACTGATGGGAAACCAGCAAGAATCTCTAGGGATGCAGATTTCCCTGAGTCTCAGATCGCACCAAACTCTGTGTCTGCAAGCTGGGGTTTGATGAGACATCAGTAGATGCGCTATATCCAGGATGAAGATGCCTAGAGACACTCTAAGCTAAGAAAGGCCTGAGCAAAAGCAAGAATGGGAAAGGAAAAGAAGGAAGCAGGGCAGTCCCCATCCCTGCCATGTCACCCAAAACTGACTCTGATGTTACCACAGGGGCCATCGAGCTGGACCTGAATCGGTTCCCAAGGGGTGCTAAGACAGCCAAGCAGTGCACCATGGAGATGGCCACCGGGGAGGTGGATGTACCCCTGGTTTCCATCTTTAAACAGAAGCGTGTCAAAGGCTGGTGGCCCCTCCTGGCCCGCAATGAGAATGATGAGTTTGAGCTCACGGTGGGTACCATTTCCTGCTTGGGATATGACCTGCGTAGGCCTAGCTGGGATACCTAGCCCAGTGGTTCTCATGCTGGAACAATCTGTTCTTTCCTTCAGGGCAAAGTGGAGGCGGAGCTACATCTCCTCACAGCAGAGGAAGCAGAGAAGAATCCTGTGGGCCTAGCTCGCAATGAACCTGACCCTCTAGAAAAACCAAAGTGAGTTCCTGCCTGCCTAGACCCCCCAATCACACCACACCATGGGAGCAGAAAACAGAAAAGGGTCTTCTTGCCCTTACTCCACAGGCAACTACTTTGTTCCCTCCTGGCACACAGCCCCATCATTGGGGAGCCCCTTCCTTCAACCCTGAAGCTACCTCTTCCTTCTGAACCAAAGGAAGCCCATCTGCAAAGGAAGCTGTTCCTTTCCCAGGAAGCCCAGCCCCCGAGTCCAATAGTGATATGGGTTCGTCCTAGTTTTTGACAAGGGCAATGCAAGCACTCCAATGGTGGCCAGATCTGGTGCCAGAAACTGCTTGGTGCAGGTGGGCTTTCCTGTGAGTGGAGATCTCTCACCAAGCCCCTTCCTACCCTCCTGTCATTTCTCTGTGCTTGTCTGCTCTTCCCAATGCTCCAGTCGGCCTGACACAAGCTTCATCTGGTTCTTGAACCCTCTCAAGTCTGCCCGCTACTTCCTGTGGCATACCTACCGCTGGCTGCTCTTCAAACTCCTCCTGCTCCTCCTGCTGCTGCTGCTGCTCGCCCTGTTTCTCTACTCTCTGCCTGGCTACCTGGCCAAGAAAATCCTCGGGGCCTGAGGCCTGCAGCCTCCTGGGCCTGGTACTTCTTCCTTCTGCCTCTGGACATGGGCTGGCCAGCACATGGGGCATAATCAACAGACACATGTACAAGTTCATATGTGTACACACAGTGCACACACATACAGAAGCACACACATGCACATAAGCATGCACAGACGAACCCAGCACATATGTGCATCTGCATAAACATGCATTGCAAACTTTTAAACTTTAAATGTAATCATACTCTCATCAGAGCCAGAAATCGCTATTTTATATTTTTATATTATTAGGCCAGAAAGGTGACGAAGCTTATTCAAGGTCACCTAGCTAGGTGGCACTGGGTCTCCAGCCTAGGTGCCAAAGTGCCAGTCTAGTGTCCACCAGCTACAGCAGCGTTATTCTCAGACTCTACTCCAGTTCCACAGGCAGGAGGAAGCTGAGACATGGGTAGAGTGGTACAGGGGGTGGGGCGCAGTACAGAGGCGGGCGGTACAGGGTGCGGGGTGAGGTACAGGGGCGGGGTGATGCAGGGGCGGGGTGGTATAGGGGGCGGGGCAGTCCAGGGGGCGGGTTTGTCTAGGGTGAGCAGATTCTTCTGAAACAGTCCCTTCTTGAGTAAGAGACCTCCTTTGGCACAGCTGGTTCCTATCCCGAGGACAAGTCGTTCCACCAGGGAAAACAATCAAGCTGACATCAGCTGAGGACCATGTCCCTGCAGGCTTTGAGATTGGCCAGCACGTTCTCAGTTCACTGGTTCCCTAGGTCCAGGAAGTAGGAATTCCTGTTAAAGTATCTTACAAATGAAGAAACTGAGACTCAAGGGAGTCTAACCTGCCCACAATAACTGGGGATAGAAATGCAGGCAATCTGGACCCACATCCCTGCCCTGATACCCCTCTTACAATGTGGGTATGGCTCGCATCCTCTGAAAGATGATGGGCCAGTTGTTGGAAAATATCCAGAGGCTGGGGCTACAGCTCAGTCAAAAATGCTTGCAACGCAAGCATGAGGATCCAAGTTCAAGTCCCTAACACTCACAAAAAAGCAAGGGCATGACTGTATCTCAGCCTGACCCCAACACTGTTAGAGGTAAACATGGGAGGACTTCTGGGGCTTCCTGGCTGCCAAACTAGCACCAAGCCAGTGAGAGACATGCTTAAGTAGAGTCTACAGCAGGGCCTCCTATGTCTGCCTCTGGCCTCAATCTGTGTACACAGCTGTGACCACTGGCATGCACACGCACCAGAGTATACCCAACACTTTAATTTTATATTGTAACATTTTATGGAACCTGATGATCTTATGACACAGAACTGCAGACAGTAGAGGCTGACAAGGGGACCTTACCAAGGAATTCTGCAAAGGGCGGGGAAGGTTAGCACCCTGATGGCGGGCAAGTCGTGGAGAGTGAGGCACGGGACTCAGGCTGCTTGGATGCTTGCTGTAGACATAATCTGTGGGTTCATCATAGAGAGAGGGTTTGAGGACCAGAGATGTAGCTCAGTGGGTGGCATACCTCCCCAGCATTCATGAAGCCTTAGGTTCAGTGGCCAGGGCTACATAAACCAGGGGTAGTGATGCATGCCTGGAATCCCAGCCCTCAGCGGGTAGAAGCAGGCAGATAAATCAAAAGTCATCCTTGGCTACGTGGTGAATAAAAGGCCAGCCTAGGCTAATTGAGACCATGTCTCAAAAAAGGAAGGAAAGAAGGGA